TTACTTTAAGTATGTAAACTTTTTAGATATAATGTTATTGTTCATTTAATAGACTATAGTATAGTGTAAACATAACTTTTATATTCACTAGGGAATCAAAACATTTCTGTGACTTGCTTTATTGCAATATTCCCTTTATTGCAGTGGTCTAGAACCGAACCTGCCGTATGTCCGAGGTCTGCCTGAGTTCCTGGAGGCATTTCCTTTGATCTTCCTGTGGCATTTCCTTTTACCTCTCCCTAGCCAGCCAAGCCGTTGGCCCAGACCCACGGATTATGTCTGCTGAATGCAGGAATAGCTGAGTGAGTGAATAAGCGTGAATAAAATGGCCAGGAGAAAGGTGAATCCTCTTCCCAGTGCTCCTTCCAGGCCTCCTCACTAGGCTCGTTTGTCACTGAAAAACTAGCGGTGACAGCAGTGTGATGCACAGAAATGTTGATTTTATATCTGTAAGACACCATCCGTTATTTTTTTAAAGCAAAATGAATCTGACACAAACTTATACAGCTTTATAGATCTTGGGCTTGTGGCCTTCACTTTTAATATCTAATCTATAATCAAGCCCTGTTGATTTTACCACCCCCAAAAAATCATAGTTAGTGATTATTTTATGGGGATATAAACAGTTTCATTTTGTTGAGTGCCTAAAAAAATACTATGTTGTGTGTCTAAGACAGAAGTTGGGCAAATGATGACGTTAGAGATGTTGATTTACCTTTAAACACTCCATATTCTATTGCAGCCCTATGCTTTTGGCTAAGCTATTCTCTTAGCCACTTCTACTGAGCTTGCCTATCAAAATCATACTTAACATTCAAGGTCCAATTAAAAAGTCACCTCCTCCGAAAGGACCTTAATAATCTACCTGAGTTACTTGGGCCAGCCTTTGACTCACTTCGGCCCCTCCGCACATGAGGGCACATTGCTGGTACCTCTCCTTAGGGTGTACTTTAGTCTGCAGAGCCCTCTTGGTGATGTGAATGTTCCCCTCCCAACTCTGCCTTGAGGGCACCTCAAGCCCAGGGACCACGCCACTCACATCTTTCTGTCTTCCCAGGGCCTTGAACAATAGATATTTTCTAAGTTGAAGTGGTTAAACTGGTCATCCATTACAGTATGCTATATAAACAACACTTTTTTGTGTGTGATATAAGGTTACTTTAAAAAAAAAAAATAGTTGGGGCAGGCACCCTCCTGCTAGGTTCTGGCAGCCATGGCCAAGAGCCTGTTCCAGCTTCTTTCTCTCACCCCTGTGGGCAACAGCAGCACACAGAAGCAGCAGCTGCCTGGTGTGCTCCAGAATTTATTTGGGGGAAAATTCAAGCTGTTTCCTTCTGAAGTGGAATGTGAGTCAGAGGTGAGCCCAGGCCTTGTGAGCTGCGTGGGAGGAGAAAGGTTTGCAATGAGCGGGGCTCTGAGTTCTCAGGCTATTTTTTCCAAACAAACTCCCGGCACAGACCTGCAGTTCAGAGACCACCCCGTCCGCCTTCCTCACTGGGTGCAGACACACGGCCTCATAAGCCCACCCTCACCGCCCTTCTCAGCACCACATCTGGACCAAAGCAGAGGCAGTCGCTCCTTCTCTTCCCTCCGTCCCTGGGGAACCTCACACACAGTCCACTCAGCCCAGCCCTAACGCACACAGAGATAGAAGCAAGACAGATGGAAATCCAAACCCAGAACTCTGCTTTGCCCCTGAACTGTGCCTTGTCCAAACCTACCCAGACTGCAAAGATTCCAGGTCGTCTATCAGGGCATGAGATGCTCAGCCACATGCTGTTAATACCCAAACTGAGTCTGTGAGCACCTGTGTGCAGGTTACCGTGCAGAGAACGGAAAAGTCACTGGAGGGGGAGCAGAAAGGTGCTGTTTGCTTGATAGCAATGAGCCTGGGCTCTCACATGTACTCGGTTAAGAGATGAAGTGACATAATGTAGGCAGAGTGCTCAGCAGAGTGACTGAAATGAAGCCTAACCCTCCAACAGTGCAGGGGAGCCCCGCCTGGTGTGGCGGGAAGCAAGCTTTTCTCCCACTGCTCCTGCTGCTCAACAGCCTGTCCTACCCGAAGGAGGGGAGGCAGTGCCTGGTACCTGCCTCCATCCCCTTCGTGCATCCGTGGGCCTCAAGGCTGGGTGATCGAGAAGGGAATTCTTGGGGAAGAGGGGACACCACTGAGCTGGGCATCTGTGCAGATAAAGCGCACCCAAAGGGGCATCCAGGGACACACTGACTGATAGTGTGACAACTCCAATAGCCTTCCCTCCTCCTCTGGGGGAATAGAGCTTCAGACCCCAGAATAATTTCCAACCCTTTTCTTTCAAGTGGATCTCTCTTCCTCTCCAAATACAACACCATAAACTGGCATCCCTTCTGCCCCTCAGATGCCCAACCACAGTGCTCCTCCCGTGCCCTTGTTAATACCATCCGATTGCTGATGCTTTATCCTGTATAGGGGAACATTAGGGCAGTAAGAAGAGGGGTAATTTCTAGTTCTCCATTTTGCTTTCAAAGTTGGAGGATAAGATCTTGCCTATCCAGCTCAGAGAGGTCTAAACAAAGGGTTTACAGGTCCACTCTCCCTGGAGGCAACAGATATTATTAGGTTTTGTGTATATAGTTATGCACTGACAAGCAAATATCCTGAACTCTCCCTCTTCCTCCTCTTTTATAACATGAACAGTAGCATATTATAAACACTCTGCATGTTTTCCATTTAGCCATGCATCTTGCAAATTGTTCCATGTCAGTTTTAGAGTAAGCTTCGCCTACTTTTTTTTTTTTTTTTTTTTTTTTTTTTTTTTTTTTTTTTTTTTTTTTTTTTATGGATAAAGTATTTGACTATCTGGAAGTATCACAAAGTATACCCCATTCGATGAGTACATAGGTTGTTCTTTCACAGCTCAAATAATGCTACAATATACATATGTTTCTTTGTGTCCCAGCATGATCCGGGAAGTCTAACGGGGTCACAAACGTCTCCTGTACACAGTGGCTCTGGGCTTTCAGTTACCATGTGTGGGTCATTCATGGGAGGAGAGTGGCCTGTGGAAGGAGCAGGGACTTTGGAACCAGAGGGACCTGCATTTCAAGCACAGCTCTGCCACGTACCAAAGATCTTAGCAAATCATTTAACCTCTTCCAAACTCAGTCTCCTCACATGAAATATGGGGAGTATAATACTGATTTCACAAAGCCTTGTGTATGTCACATAGAAGGTACTTAATAGATGGCAGCAACTTTCCATCAGGCCAGATCCTAGACCTCAGGGCACTTTTCACAACTGACAGGACCTGGAACAGCCCAGCGAGGGCCAAACAGCTCTTTTGTCAAATAGCTACCCGGAGGGTTCCCGGCGGCTCCTCCTCTGATCCACCCAGCCCCCTTCCACGGTTAGCAGCAGAAATCACGAAAACCCTCACTGTGCCGGGGGGCAGGGGGCTGTTTCTGTGCCAGGCATTCCTGTTACCAGATGATGCTTGCATTCAGACAGAGGCACTCTCTGCACTAAGCAGACCTCATTTCCAATTACAGATGGGCAAGCTAGAGACAAAACAGAGATCCTTGGGCAAAGCATGAGGGATTTGCCCTCATCAGCATCGGAGCCTTTCCCAAGCACAGTTTTGGATGAGATCACAAAAGGTAGATTTCTAGTTCTGGCAGAAATGCCAGTGATGCCCCAAACAAGGTTTCTATGTACACATAAGACCCCCACCCCCGCCCCCACCCCCACCCCTACTCCCACCCCAAATAACTTCAGAGGCTTTTCCCATTCCCACATGGATTCAGAAACCATAGCAATGCCCCTTATGTGTGAGGGGAAATGATGCTATAGACTCAGCTAACACCACAGCTAAACCTTGGGGAGCACATTTTAGTTCCTGTCTGGGTGCCAACATGACCCCCTATCTCTAGGTGCTGGCTTAGGTCCCCTCGGGCATGGAACGGAGCCCTCCTGAGAGCGAACTAAGCAGTTATAACTGCTTTCGGAGAACATCCCTTTGCTCCATGCCCCCCTAGAAGGAAAGGGGCTGGACCTGAATGCACTTAGGAGCACTGACCGCACTAGCACACAAAGGAAACAGCCTTTCCCCTGAAGCCTCCGACTCTGAAGCAGAATGGATACACCGGATCTGAAGTCCCTGCATCATTGTTGGTGTCTTAGAGACATAAAATGCGGGTCTGGCTCAGACACTGGCAGGGCATTGGGACCCGACTGCACAGACTTCCACCCCTGCCAGTTACACTGCGGCCTCTTCAGAAGCCCCTAGCCCAGCCCACGAGGCTCTCTCCTCCCAAACCCTGCCTGCAGCCAGGCCATGAGCGTGGGCTGGGGTTAGGGTTAGGGCTCCGGCTGGATCCCTACCCCCCAAAGTTTTTAGAAGAGCTAACTTCCAGATCCCCACAAACCCACTCAGAGAAAAGGAATGCCCACGTGTGGCTGAAAAACGCGGGTGGTGTATGGAGCCCCGGAGTGCTGATGGAGAAGCCAGATCTCCACCCCTGCCTCCCTCGCTGCCGTGGGGGACCCAGGACGCCACTCTGGCCGCCCGCCTGCTGCAGCCCCGCACTTGGTCCGCCCCAGCTTGGCCAGAGACTGGGAATGAAGGAGCAGAACTAAGCTTTCTTTCTGACCCGAGGCTTTTTGCTCGCCCCCTTGTCTCTCTGCTTGGGCGAAATCCTCCTCCAGAAGGCCACAGCAGCTCCAAGGGATGGGGGTTCGGGCCACGGGCTCTGGGGCCTTAGAAAGACTTGCCTGGTGGCCCAGGTGAGGGTCCGGTCTCTCCGTTCCTGTCCTGGACCCTAAGGCACAGGCGGAGACGCTGAAGCCCGCCGCTAACCGCCTCCCTCCTCATTTTACACAACTCCAGGAAAATCTCCAGCGAACCTAGCGGGCGGCCAGGCGGGCCCAGGGGTGCGTGTGCTCTCGGACCCACCTGGCCGCGCAGACGGACCCGGCTGCTCCCCCCACTGGGTCCTCCCCCCCCCCCCCCCCCACTCACGCTCGCCCAGTGCTCGGGCCACTGCATGGTCCCCGGTGGCGGCGGCACGGAGGGGTCCGGCGGGTCCCGCTGGAGGAGGAAGGTGCCGCGAGGAGATAGATGGGCGAGGCGGGCGGAGGCCAGCGCTGGCGCTGCGCTCTGGGGCAGGGACTCCGCCAGTCCTGCCAGGAGGCGGGGACCGACCTGCAGCCTGGCTGCCAGGCCGGAGCCGCCCACCTCCCCCAGCGCACCCGCGCCCTTCAGAGCGAACGGCTGGCTCACTGTGCAGAGAGCCAGAGCCAACTGCAGCCCCAGCCCGGCCCACAGCGCCAAGGTCAAGACCGAGGTGGACAGAGGCGGGCAGCCCGGACGCGCTTATCCCGGTTTAGGGGCGCACTTTCGAGGGACATCCGCTGGCGCGCGGAGCCCGGTGTCCTGCGGGGGCTCTCCACTCGCCCCGACCCCGTCTCCTCCCCCTTTTTCCTCCCTTGGAGGAACCCAGGTGCCCAGGAGCGCCCCGACCCGTTACCGTTACCGAGGCTGAGCCAGCTCCGCCCGGAGGCCACTCCCGCGGGGTCTGCGCTCGCGCGAAATTTCGGGCACCGGGGACCCGGGTGGCGCTCTGAGACCGGCCCTGCACGCAGCCCAGAACCCCATGGCCCCTCCAGGTGGCCGGGGCTGGGGCAGGTACTGAGCGACCTGACTGGCGCTGGCCCCGCCCCTGGAGGATCCCCCTCCACGGAGCCTGTCCGCACAGGAGCCACCGGCAGGGATAAAACGGTGCAGGCAGGTGCCTTCCTTCCCAAGAGCCTTCCTCCAGTTCCACTGCCCTTTTGCCTAAGAAATGGACACGCGGTCATGGATCCTGGCGTGGTCTGTACGGAAAACCCTGAGAACAGGTCTTAGGACCACGGGATGTTGCTGGCCACAGGGCTTTGCCTAGCCACCGCCTGAAAAGCTCATATCTTTTTTTTTTTTTTTTTCTGGTCCACACGGGTCCCTGGAAGTCCAATGACATCTGATGTCCCTGCCTGATGTTGAGGGGTACCCCGACTTCCGGGCTGAGCAGTGTGTAGTTATAGTTGTGATGGGGAGATCTGGCAGGAAAGAAGCAAAGCCACTGCCCCCTCAGTTAATGTTTAAAAGTCTACCAGCTGCTTCTGTGCTGACCCCCTAAAGACACTTGCTGACATCAGTCTGCTCTGAGAACATGGCTGGAGGAGATGGAAGGGAACTGACACTTTTTAGCACGTCCAAAGCAGCTCAGCATGGAACTCTTCCCTGCCCTGGTCTGTTTGCTCATCTTCTCCTAACTCTGCTCTCCAGTCCTGGCTGGACTGAAGTCCAGGGGGAGGGAGACTTAGGGCCATCCAGCTTAATGCTCAAACAGGGAGCATTCTCCTCAAATCACATGTGTTCTTTCTCATACCCTGGGTAGTCTGTATGATTCAAGTTAATGGTGAATAATGCATCAATAATAAAATAACATATAATAAAATAAAAAGCTTGGTCCCTCAGCCCAGGCCCAATTTGTAAAGGAGAGGGAGTAAGAATTTAGCACTTGGAGCAACCTGTATTATTCCTACATCACTGTTCTAAAAAACAACAACAACAACAACAACAAAACAGCAAAAACAAGCAAACATCCAAAGGCAAGCTACCCACCTGACCCTTCCAGCAGGTGTACCGGTGGCTTCAACACTTCACTTATTTCCCCCCTCTTGTCACAGGTTTTTAATTTTGACCTCAGGTTTTCACGTGCTGCCTTTTCTCACACAAACTTCACACCTCCATTCCTCCATCTCGTTTCTTCTCAAAGGCAAAACTGAAATATGAAGAGATGTGTTACTTGGTTATAAACGATTCGACAGAAAGTGAAGACAAGATACATGTGCAGCCTCATGAGTCGTCATAAACCAAAGCTGTGCAGTCAGCACCCAGGTCATTGCCATCCCCCCAGAACCTCCCCTGCCCACGGATTTCCATTCACAGCCCTTCCGTTCTCTCCCCACTAAAGCAACAGCGATCCTTACTTTATAGTGTTTACTTCCTTTTTTAAAGTTTTATAAAATGTTAAGCACTCCTAAATATGATAATTTAGTTTTACTTTCTGTATAGCATGAACTTGTGTGTGTGTGTGTGTGTGTGTGTGTGTGTGTGCACACGCGCGCACTTCTAACCTCTTTTTTCACTTGGTTATGTCTGTGAGGTCATTCGTTTTTGTTGCATGTAGTTGTAGTTGGAGCCACTACAAATAATACTGCTAATAAAGTCCTTGGATATTGATATATGTCTGGGTGTGCAAGTGCAAACTTTTAAAAAATATTTTATTGATTTTTCACAGAGAGAAAGAGAGAGGGATAGAGAGTTAGAAATATTGATGAGAGAGAATCATCGATTAGCTGCCTCTTGCACACCCCCTACTGGGGATGTACCCGCAACCAAGGTACGTACGTGCCCTTGACCGGAATCGAACCCGGGACCTTTCAGTCCGCAGGCTGATGCTCTATCCACGGAGCCAAACTGGTTTCAGCAAGTGTAAACTTTTTAGGGTGTATATCTTGGAGTAGAATTGCTGGGCTATAGGGTATTCTTATATAACTTTATTAAAGAATACCATATTGTTTCCCAAGGTGGCCATTCAAATTTATACTCCCACCAAAGATGGGTGGTAGTTTCAGTTGCTCCACATCCTTGCCAAAACATCATATTGTTAGACTTCTTAATTTCTATCAATTTGGTGGATGCATAATTTTATAAAAATTGTGATCTTCATTTCATACCCTTAATTTCTAATAAGGCTGTGTGCTTTTACATGTGTTTATAGCCTATTTGAATTTTGTCTTGTGAAGTGCTTATTCAAATCTTTACCTATTTTTAAAGAGAGTCATCTGACTTTTTCTTGATTCATAAAAGCTTGTTGTTTATTCTGGCTATATGCCTTTGTCAGTTGTAGGTTGCAAGTATCTTCTACTTGTTAATCTTGATAATTTGATCAAGAATAATTTTTAAAATCGGGATGTTTATTTTGAGATAATTGTAGATTCACATGCAATTGTAAGAAATAAGACAGATAGATCCCAGGTTCTCTTTACACAGTTTGTCCCACTGTTAACATCTTGCAAAACTTCAGTGCAATATCAAAACCAGGATATTGACATTGACATTGGCATTGAGACACTCAAGATACACAACTTTTCCAGAAGAATCCCTCATATTTCCCTTTTATAGTCACTTCTACTTCCCTTTGACACTCCCCATCCCACTTACCTGTTTACCATTTATAAAATTGTGGAATTTCAAGAATGTTATATAAAGGAAATCATACAGTATGTGATCTTTTAAAAAATTTCCAGTGTAATTTTTGGGAGATTCATCTAGGTTTATTTATTGGGTGGTATGGATGTATCATGGTTTAACCATTCACTCACTCATATAAAAGACATTTGGCTGTTGTTCCTTCCCCCACTCCCAGTTTTGAGCTATTACTAATAAACCTGCTATAAACATTCATGTACAAGTTTTTTTGTGAACATGAGTTTCATATCCCTGGGATAAATGCCAAGGAGTAAGACTGCTGGATCATATGATAGTTGCATGCTTAGATTTTTAAGAGACTGCCAACTTGTTTTCCAAGATAGCTGTACCATTTTGCATTCCACTAGCAATGTATAAGTGACCCAGTTTTTCCACATCCTTGCAAGCGTTTGATGTTGTCACTAGTTTTTAAGTTTTAGCCACTTGACAGGTGTGTAGTGATATCTTATTGTAGCTTTAACTCTCATTTCCCGATGGCTAATGATGTTGAACATCTTTCCACTTACTTATTTGGCATCTACATTCCCATCTACTTGTTCTCTTTGGCTATCTACTTATCTTTTGGCCATTTCTAATTGGATTTTTTGGTTTTGTTTTGTTTTACAAAACATTGTTGAATTTTGACAGTTCCTTAGTCTGGATCCTAGTCCTTAGGCAGATATGTAGTTTGAAAATATTTTCTCCCAGTCTGTAGCTTGTCTTTTTACTCCTTCTACATGGGTTTTACAGAGAAAGTTTTTAATTTTAATAAGGTCCAAATTTTCACTTTTTCATACACTGGATCATGCTATTGAGATAAATCTATCTAAGAACTCTTAGCCTAGCCCTAGATACCAAGGATTTAGATGTTGGTATCAAGTTGGCAATTTTTCCTTCTATTACTATTTTTGTGAAAGTTTTTGTTATAAATGGGTATTGAATTTTGTTGAATGCTTTTACATCATGTGAATTTGTTCCTTTTTAAGCCTGTTAACATGGTAGATTACATTGATTGAAAACAACCAGCCTTGCATTCCTGGAATAAAATCCACATGGTTTAGTATGTAATTTTTTTATATTGCTTGAAACAATATTTATTAATATGTTTTAAAGCATTTTGCATCTATATTCATGAGAGACATTGGTCAGTAGTTTTACTTTTGGTTTTGGTATCAGGGTAACACTAATGTCATAAAACGGATTCGGAAGTGTTCCCTCCTTTCTGTTAATGGAAGAGTTTGTGAGGGATTGGTATTAATTCACTTTTAAACATTGTAATCCATCAGCTATCTGGGACTGGATTTTTCTTTGTGAGTAGTTCTTCAATTATCAATATCTACTTGCTATAGGTATATTCAGATTTTTAAATTTCTTCTTGAGTCAGTATCAGTTTTCATCTTTGTGGGAATTTGTCCATTTTATTTAGATTTTCTAATTTGTTGGTGTACAATTGTTTATAGCATTCCTTCATCGTCCATTTTATTTCTGTACAGTTGGTAGATTACCTCCCTTTCATTTTTAAGCTTAGTAATTGGAGTATTTTTTTTTTTTTTTTTTTGTCAGTCTAGCTAAAGGTTTGTCAATATTGAAGGTTTTTTTTCCAATGACTAGTTTTGGTTTCACTGATTTTACATTTATTTTCTATTATACTTATTTCACCTTAACATTTTTATTTCCTTCCTTTTTTCTTGCTCTGGGTTTATTTTATTTATTTATTTTTCAAGTTTTCTATGGGGGAAGATTAGATAATGAATTTGAGAGATTTCTTATTTTTTTAATATTGCTGTTTACTGGTATAAAATTTTCTCTTAGCATTGCTTTTGCTGCATAAGTTTTGGTGTGTTGTTTTTATTTTCATTCATCCAAAATTTTCTAATTTCCCATGTGATTTCTTTCTTGTCCTATTGGTTATTTGGGAGTGTATTAATTTATTCATATTTCTGAAATTCTCAAATGTATTTGTTAGTATTATCTAATTTTATTCAATTCTGGTAAGAGAACATGCTTCCTATGATATTAGACCTTTAGAATTTATTGAGGCTTATTTATGGCCTAACATATGGTTTGTCCAAGAGAATGCTTCATGTGCTGTTGTTGGGTGGAGTGTACAATGGATGTATATCTAGTTGTTTTATAATGTTGTTGGAGTTTCCTATATCATCATTGATCTTCTGTCTAGTTTT